CAGCCACACCCTCGCTCTGTTGCACGAGGCTCAACTGACTGCCCTTACTCATTTCCTTCATCACGTCCTTCGCGTTTACACACTCGCACCCCATCTTAAGGTAGCAATGATTGCTAATACCATGCAATAGCTCTTAAAGCTGTTCAGGATAATTGACCCTTGGTCTCTGTGGTCGTATTGCTGTTGTAGCAGCTGCCTCTTCTAAACACAGCATCTATCACAAGATGCAGTCTTGGTCAAACAATGGCCAAAGCGGCGCCGATGAGACACAGCATCAATGGCACAATAACTATGCCTTTGCAGGCCAAAACGGCCAATTTGACCCTCATCAGCCTTGGTCACAGCCTGTGAGTGAGCAGGCAGCTTACTCGCAACTTAATCCTCAAGAGGCTTCCCCATCAAACTTTTTCGACTCTGATCAAAGTCACCCCTTCCTCTCAAGCACTCTGCATGGCTCTCAACAGGACCAAGCAAGCTACCACCCAAGCCATGACTCTCTCTCCATGAACCAACAATATCCACAACAGTCACAAGATGTAATGGACACAGATTTCAGTGGAATTCACCCTGATATTTACGGTCAACACAGCAAAATGAACCTGGATAACGCCATGGCTGGCATTGGACAACTATCAAGTCATTCTACCAATTTCCCATATTCTATGGCGCCACAAAATGAGTCATCCTTCGAACCTTCTATCCAGCAGTTTTCTCAGCAGCATGTAATGCCACAAACAAGTAGGCAGCAGAGCCATACACCAGTGCAGCAGTTTGACGGCATCCCGTCTACTTATACCCCAGGTCATAACTTCAGTCGACCGCCCCAGCCATCCCCGGTCCAGAATCAGCAACAGTACAACCAAGCTGCTTTTTCACCTCCAGTCAACGGCCAGACGCCTCAACCACGACCGACTGAACAACTGAACTTCCAACATAGCCATCCGCAAGCACGACAGCAACCTCAGCCTCAACAGCAACCTCCTAAGCCTCAACAGCAGATGCAACAAAACCAACCGCAACAACCACCACCACCACCACCACAGCCTCAGTTTACCCCTAAGCAACCTGTGGCCTATCCCACGACCTCGCAGCCTCTGCCTGGTCAGAACTTCCAGCAGCCGATACATCATCAGCAGCCACCTCACTTCATCAATAACGCCACATCACCACCCACAGCCAACACGCAATACATTCTGTCACAACCAAGCACGAATCAAGACACCCCCGGGACCCTTCAACCCGTGACGAACGAACCGCCTCCCAAGAAGAGGAAGCGGGCAGTGAAGACTGAAGTCAACACTCCTACCCCCACTCCAGAGCCCACTACAGCATATGTCGACTCGCCTGTTGGGTCTCCTGCTGTGAAAAAGATTGATGATCTCGATGGCCTCTCAGCTCCGACTCCCACGCCCGAAGAAGCCCAGTTAATCTACCAGTTCAATAAGCGCACCAAGGCCGCCCAAGCCAAATTTCCTGCTATCAAAGGGCTTCCTCATTTGGTTCATGAGGGAACAATTAAGCTTCCCGCACCTAAGAGCTATGATAAGCTTGCCCCTCTTGTAGCACTGCCACCCCGTAGCGGAAGGCAGATGGTCCCCGAACTTGGTTACAGTCTTCCTTGTGAAGTCCAGGGGCGTTTCACCAGCCAATACCGCCCCTCTCCAGATAAAGGCGGGCTTGACGAGAGGCGCATGGAGGCCAAGATGCTTTTGGATGACTTTGATCGTTCCATGAAGGGCTTAGGCAAACGGCGTCCCAAATACACGGAGTACCCGCATGCTTTCAAAGAGCAACTTAAATCTGATGAGGCCTCGAAGAACAAAGCTGAGAAAAAGGCAAAAAAAGAGCTTGAGGAAGAGCGTGGTAAACCCGTAAGTTATTCGGTACAGTCTTTCGTAGGTTCTATGTCTAACCATGTCCAGATCCGCGCAGCTACCCGCCCAGCCGACCCTGCTGAAGCTGCTGCCTGGGATGCCATCGGGATGGTGCACATCGAGCAGTCTGTTGCGCGTACCAATGCCCTAATTGCATCCCGCGTTCAACAAGCAGGCGAGTATTTCATCAAACTTCGCAGCGAAATGAACCGTGCCAAGCAGGAACTCGATCAAGCTATCAAGGAAAAGAAGCCGGAAGATGTGATTGCAAAGGTTCGACAGGACTTTGAACAAAAGAAAGAAATACTCTACCGAGCTTTGGATGCCGCTATCGAGCATGCAGATGATGCGGTATTGGACAACCTCGGCGGCCACCAAAAGCTAGTTTTAAGTTTGGTGAATGCGCTGATCATGTGTATCAAAGCGAGTGACTTCTCGGGGAAACTCCCCAAGATTGTCCTTGAGATGTTTACACATTTTCCTATGACGAAAAAGATCGCTGAGACAACAAACTTTGAATCAGTGAGGAAACGGTTTGCCGATAAGGGAGACTCGGAGGTCAAAGAGCTTGTATCAGAGATAACAGTCAAAGTCAAGAAGCTCAAGGCCAGTGAGCCCGAAAGCACAGGCTATCAAGGCACTTCTGCGTCAAGCAGAGCGAAGGCTAAACCGGGGACGGAGCCTTCAGCCAAGCGTGGACGAGACGAGGAGGCTGAAACAAGGACGGTTAAAAAGATTGCAGTAGAATCTAGCGGCAATGCTCTTAGCAGGAAACTTGCCCAGCCCAAGATTCAACTTCAATCAGCATCCAAAACCAGTGCAGCAAAGGCAGCAGCAGCATCTATTCTGCCTGGCAAACCCAGACCAGTAGCCAAACCTGCACCGAAGCCTGAAACCAAAGCAGACGTGAAGGTCATAAGTGACGACAAGATAAAAGCCGAAGCGAAGCCATCACGAACTGAGACGAAACCACCGGCACCTCGAAATGGGTCTACAACCGCTCCGACCTCAAGCTCAGCGAGCGCCTTGTCCGGTATTGCTTCGTTACTGGACTCAATCAATGCACCAAAAGCCGAGGCTCCTGTTGCACCGAAGGAGACAAATGGGTCTGAAACCTCGGAATCGCCTGAAGAGAAGGCCAAGCGTCTCCGAAAAGAAGCTCGCCGCAAGCTTCGAGTCAGCTGGAAGCCTGAAACCGAGCTTGTTCAGATTAGGGTCTTCCAGAAGGAAGAAGCCGAGGACGAAGGACGAGAGTCGAACATGACCCGAGATGCCGCTGACGATCGATCTGAAGGAATGGTACTCAAACAGCGTGCGAACCAAAAGGAAGAAGAGGATGATGAAGACGTTCCTTATCAACCTTGGATGGGACCAGTCGCGATCGACTTCTCTAGGCTGCCAACAGACGTCCGAAATAAGAACTTCGTTACTCGAGGCGGAAATGTCACCTTTACAACAGACGAACAGCAGCGCATTGCGGATAGGGAGCAACGGGAGCTCATGGCTATCTATGCCGACCCTGATGACATCCCACCCTCACCCAAGTCACCGATACTCGAGGCTTCTGGAACTGATCAACAGAAGGCACAATATCTGCCTGATGATTCAAAGTTCCAAGAGATCCAGCATCGATGGCGTGATGAGCAGCAAATGGGACCTGACGGAGCACTCTACACGGCCTTACAACGCATCGAGGCGAAGAATAATCCAGCGACTCGTCTCGATTCGATTCTGGGCAACCTCCGAGGCGTCTCTTCGGTGGCTCGCACATCCCCTCAACATGCTTCTCAATCACAGCCCCATCCGGCCCTAGCTAATGATACTCTACCTCTTATCGCTGGCCGTGCCGTGTTGGATCAGGTCATTGCCCTGCTCAAATCCGACAAGGTCAAGAGCTGGCGAGACTTGAACCCAGTCATGAACGATGTCTGGCGTGCTTTCCATTACTCCGACATGCCTACTCGCCTTTGCGGAGGTGCCATTGAAGGTGTGGCCAAGTCTCTCTCAGGCATGCCATTTCCCAGCAACTCGCCTCCAGAATGGATTCTTCATGATCAAGAGAAGGTCCGCGAGTGGCAAATGGGGCACAACAAAGAACTGGTATCCCGACAAAAAAGAGCAGACGAAGAACGTGCGCGCGCAGAAGCAGAGGCCAACGCCTTGCAAGCAGCAGCTGTCGGTGCTTCGTCTGGCCAAGCCCCAGCCAATCCTCAGGACTGGGCGGCCTATTATGCTCAGCAACAACAGGCTTATGCGCCTTACATGGCTTTGTTGCAGCAAATGCAGCCTCAGCCACAGACGACGACTGCACCTGCGCAGCAGCAGCAGCCCCAGATTCCCGATACCCAGCTCCAGTCTATCCTGGCCGCTATCAACCAGCCGCTGCAGGCTTCAGGCCAAGCCTCGACCGCGACCCCCAACGCTGCTTCATATCTCAACCCCAACGATCCATCATATCAGCAGTACATGATGCTCACCCAAATGGCACAAGGGCAGCAAGTCCCGCCTCCGCCTCCACCACCCGCAGCGGAACGAGAATGGGATAGAGACAGAGGATACAGCCGAGATAGAGACCAAGACCGAGGTTGGGACCGTGAACGGACGTATGACCGCGAACGTGATGATCATCACGGTGGTAGAGGAGACCGGGATGGAAAAGACGGAAGGAAAAAGAAGCCTACTCTGCCGCCACACAAGCCTGCTAACAAAGCACTCATTGGCACCAAGCCTTGTACTTTCTGGCAGCAGGGCAAGTGTGCTAGAGGAGACAAGTGTACATTTCGACACGACTAACGATGAGCTATATAAAGCTTGTTTACTATATTGAACTTGGCTTGGAGTTTTTAAGAAGTGGGATATATCATGGTGTATTATTAATGTAACCAAAAAATCAGCATCAGCCAAGGCCAATCGGGGGTCAAGACATTTGAATTTCCTACAGCATGTACCCGAGGGCGTGATATGCGCCACTACAAGGAAATAAAAACATTTCATATTTCACGTCGTTTGCATAACTGTGATTACAATCTCATCTGTATATGGACGAGCCCGATAACTGCGGCCAATTTTAATCATTGATTTATGTTCTCAACTTTTAGATTTCGGATATTCAACTATATCGATAACCTACTCGACAGCAGCCATCTCTGTGTCACCCTCTCCAGCCCTTTTGACCAGTCCACGCAGGCTCAGATCATAGACAACATCCTCGACTCTCTTGACGTCATACTTGACAGCATCAGCTCGCTTGCGGAGAATGTCGTTCTTGAGGTTGAGAAGCTGGAACCCGGCGAAGAGATCCTTGATGAACCCGCTAATAACGAGAGGAAGCTCAAAGTCTCCGAGGGTGACAGCGTTGGGAGCAAGACGAGCAAGCTCGTTGGTGAGGTCCGTCAGAGATAGGAGATACTCCTCGATGGTAAAGTGGAAGGCATCTCGGTCCTTGAGGTTTGTGGGGACTGGGGGCACGTTAGCGTTAAGGTTTCTAGTTAAGTTTGGAGATGGCTCGCGGACCTTGGAAGACCTCGCCAACTTGCTCGAGAGTGAGAAGGCGACCGAGTGAAGCAGGCTGGGCGTCAGAGCCTAGACCGCCGAGCCAGGCAGTGTAGACAGCGGTGCCGATGGCATTTTGAACGGTTCTCGCCCACTTGCTGTTGTATCTATCGCCGAATCAGATTTTGACGCTCGTTGACATGGCTGGGAGAACGTACTTGTAGTATGGGTGCTTGCTAGCTACCTCATTCAGCTCCTTCACAATAGTGACCTCTTCCTTGATAGCATCCTCAACCTGTGATACAAGCGCTGGGTCTGCATTTTCTTTAATCAGCTTTGCGCATTCCAAGCTGGGACACGAAGAAAAAACTGACAGCGAGCGCGGGGTGTAGAGTGGACGCGAGAGAGAAGACCTTGAGCAGTGGCAACGGCGCGCTCGAGACGCTGGATAATCTGGGTGAGGTTATCACGAACGGCGGTCTCTTCATCGAGCTTCTCCTGGAGGTGGGAGAAGATGGAGGGATCGAGCAGAGGAGTGTCGGAGGACATGATGGCGGTTTGATGGAGGGTGAATGAGGCTCTGCGGGTGAGGCTCTGGAGAAGATGGAGGTTGGAGCTACGCTAGTCGTTTGTTTATTCAGATGACGGGCGATGGGTATTTGCCTAGCACGAGGTTGCGATTATCACGAAAGGAATCTACAGCGAAGAAATGGAGGTGTCAAGGCATGTTTACTTGGACTAGGTACAATAAATTTGATTTCAGTCACCGACATCACAGATCACAAGACAACAAGATCACGAAGATGGAGAGTTCTTCCTCACTGCCCAGGCAAGCCCGAGCAAGCAACGAAAAACATGGAGCTCAAAAAGTGCATTCGCGTCACCTGGAGACAGTGTAATACCAGGGACACTGTGGGTGGAATCATGTGCAAGCACAGAGGAGACCACCCGAGTTTCAAAAATAGGAATAATCACGATTGATGTCCTTAGACATCTTTCAGAGATTAAACTGAAAAGAACAGATACTACACTTGATCTAAGCCAAAAGGCAAAGAGAGCTAAGGAGAAAAGAAGAAAGGAAAAGCGTAGCTTGGAGGGGCAGGGCGAGATTATATACTGGATCTGAAGGCGGTGAGAGGCAGAGTGATCTGGAGAGTGGCAGAATTTGGGCCAATGAAAAAACGGGACTTCAGCAGGCTGAGGGTGCTGCCTGTTGATTCACAGTGGGTAGGAGCGCTCCACTGAGGAAGAGAGCGCAGAGAAAAAAGCTTCATGTGAAGGCCTGAGGCTGCATATGCTTTGCGGATTGATGCCTCAGAAGCGAATTGCATGGTGACACCAGAAGAAGGTTTCTGTGAAGCTGAGACAGCCGCTTATCTACGTGTATTGGCGTACACAAACGTGAGCAAGCGCTTTCGAAGTATAATCATTGCAAGCCACCTCAGAATAGAAGTACCTATGAAGAGCAGAGATAAAAACCAAAAGTTTGACAATGAAGTATCGCATTTCACGACCTCGTTCTCCCAACAAGAATCCACAAATGTCGCCTCATATCGAACCCAATTTTCTAACCAAGGCGAAGCTCATTCCGTCGATGCGAACTTCACCTCTAGAGATGTTGCCCCCTGATGCAGCTTGCTTGCCCAAAGCTTCGAGCTATGCTTCCTCCACGCCAACCAAGATTCACATCCTGACCACTAAAGACGACTTTCAAGTTCACGATATGCAGCCTTGACAAAGGTCTAAATGTACTCCGAGTTCCAATGCTCGCCAAGCTTCAACGCCGATTGTTGGTGGTGCTTATGGAATGCCCATGGTGTGTTGCGCCGTTTCGAGAACTTCTCATGAGAAAACCGGCCAGTCCGATACATGCATTCTCAGCTTTCCCAATAGCCTCTGAGATCAAATACTATCTGCTATACATACTCCTCAGGGAGCAAGAAAACGCCGGACCTTGCTTTTGGGTGTTAAAATAAACTGAGCAAAGAGTCCCCTAAGCTTAGGCTAGATTTACCTAATTATCTCCATCACTTAGGGTTGAATGGCAGTCCTGAGTTTTCTTTCCTCCCCTAGATACTTCATGCGTTCTCGAAACGGATGGTCTGAAGACTCCCGATGCGGCCCGAAGGTGGGTTTCTGGCCTGAGACACCGTTAGCTCTAAAAGTGATCAACCAACGCATTCCAATATTTGGACGGCATCATTGGCGTTTGCCCTCAGCTAATGGTCTAGCTTTGACGAAAGCATGAATCCCTCCCCCGTAAGATATAGACGAGCAACGCCCAACCCCTTGCCAAGAAAATGTCAAGCACTGAAGGACCAACAGGCGAAGCGTTGGTCGAGTGATGGTCTCGTTCAAGCTGGAAGACACCAAGTGGTCGACTAACAAGTCAAAGCTTGGGCAATATTCGACCAGAGAAACGCAAGGAGAGGCGCAACGACCAACGGTTTTGCTTGTGAGCACCTCATGTAAGGAATGAAAGACACGAGGTCAAGATTGGTTCACATGTTCGCACAACCTTCGATGCAACCTGTGGAACTTACTTCGCTAGAAGTCATTACCTTTTGATAAGGGATGCAAATTTGCCAGCGTAAATCCCACTGTATGTGAATGCCTAAATGTTTGTCTGTAGTATAGGCTTCTCCCGCGCTTCTAGAAGCAATGGTTCACCAGTTCGATGGCTGAGGGTTGTCAACACCTTAAGCTCCGTGCTTCCTGATATGGCAAATGATATTCAGCATGAAGAAAGAGAAACACCCCTTTCAGAAATTAAAGCGCTGTTTGGGAAGGAGTAATACCAGGACCCGCTCTGTCGGAACGGTTGGGAAGGATCGTGGTGCTGCTGGTTGGTGGTACCTGCCATGAACAATATGAAGTGGCTTAGTATTGTTCTTCAGCGCCCAGCTCCAGAATGGGAACGTGAAGAATAGCCACAACTCCCAAAACCAACATGCTCACAATTGAAGCTGTGATATATGACTGATATCTTGAAGTTGATGTCATAATATAATATCCAAATTCGGTACAAAAACAGCCAGTTCCCTCCGATAGGTAGTTGATCATCTCAGCAAGCTCAACCTCAACTTGACGAGCAGACCTGGAATCTTCATATCGATACTTCTTTACAGTTCAATTTCTCTCACCATGTTGGTGACCAATTCTCTCAAGGTCTGGGGCCTACTCTTTAGTGTAACCTCTGTTCTGGCAAGCCCAATTGTCCTCGAATCTCTGGATGAGACCCCTGCCGACTGGCAGGAATCCGACTCACCAGACCCTGATCAGATCATTGACTTCTCTATTGGCCTCCAGCCTGAAGATAGCCAGCTGCTTGATACTGCTCTCTATGGAGTCTCAGATCCCGACCATCCCAATTACGGCAAATATCTCTCACGGGAATCTGCCAAAGCACTGCTCAATCCATCTGGAGAAGCTACTCAGTCCGTCAAGCGTTGGCTTACAGATGCCGGAATCCCTGAGCACCATGTTCGTGACGAGGGCGAATGGCTCCATGTGCGCACGACTGTCAGCCAAGCCGAAGGCATGTTGAGCACCCGCTTCTCCGTCTTTGCTCGCGACAATGAACGAATTGTCAGAACCAGAGAGTACTCAGTTCCTCATGAGATCGTCCACCATATTGCAACTATCCAGCCCACCACATTCTTTCCTATCTTCGATAAAGAAGGAAATATCGATGGCTCTGGGCTCAGACTCACGAAACGAGACGACAAGTACGGAAAGAAGCCACCAAAGGACGGTAATAATGGCGGCCCGGGACCCATCAACTTGGAGAAGTGCAAGACGGAACTGACGCCTGCCTGTATTCGAGAAATCTACAAGATGCCAAAGAACTATCCAAAGGCGGAGAAGGGCTCCTTATACACAGTCGTCAGCTTCCTCAACGTAAGTATACTGGGTGCCCTGGTAGGCTGTTTACTGATGTATGTTAGATGACTGCTCAAAACGCCCAGCTCCAAGAGTTCTTCCGACGCTTTGCCCCTGACCTCGAGGGCGTTACTTTCCGCAATGCATCTGCAGCAGGTGGAGAAAACCCACAGAGTGCCAGAATTAGAAGCAACGAAGGGAATTTGAACACCCAGTATGCCATCTCCTTGGCACACCAAGTCCCTGTAGAACACCTTACTGTTGGAGGCTTCAATTACGACTTCAATCCAGATTTGGAGTGAGTATCCTAGGGATCATCTAAATAGCCGCCACTAACTCATATCACAGCTTGCAGAAGGTGCCAGGAGACTTCACTCGGTCCATTGAGAATTGGCTCGGATTGGCGGAGTACCTCTTGAACCTGCCAGACAAGAAGCTCCCACAAGTTGTCTCAATTTCGTGGGGTAATTACGAGCAACATATCCCCAAGGCATATGCCCGACAGGTTTGCAACAAATTCGGTCAGATCGGCACACGTGGTGTCTCAATCCTAGTTGCAGCTGGCAATTTCGGCGTTGGTGTCTCGTGCCAGTCAAACGATGGAAAGAACATTACGAAGTTCCTCCCGACTTGGCCCAGCGTCTGCCCATATGTGACATCCGTTGGCGGCACAGAGAGCAATAGCCCCGAAAAGGCTTGGTTGGATACTGAGTACGATCAATCTGGTGGCGGTGGCTTCTCAGATCTCTTCTCCCGCCTTGCGTACCAGGATAAGGTCGTAAAAGACTATCTGAAGAAGAATGAGAAGAAATGGAAGCAATGGAAGAACTATATCAACAAGGAAGGAAGAGCATTCCCCGATGTTTCTGCTCTCGCAAGTGGCCATCAAGTTATGGTCAACGGTCAACAGTTCACTGCAGGTGGAACCAGGTAAGTTGTGTGTACGCGCAAACGTGCCTAACCAGCGTACCTGACATAATGGCTATAGTGCGGCCGCCCCTACAGTCGGTGCGATAATTGCTTTGCTCAACAACGAAAGGTTCAAGAAGGGCAAATCTGCGATGGGATTCCTGAACCCATGGCTCTACAAAACTGGCCAGGCAGGGTTTGCCGAGTAAGTATCCGAATAGTTGGCGTCGTTGAAAAGTTGCTAACCCAGCCCCTAGCATCTTGGAAGGAAAGACGTCAGGCTGCCCCGGTGTTAGTCTGGAAGGGTTCCCTTCTCCCGAAATTCCCAACGCGGGATGGGACGCCGTCAAAGGATGGGATCCCGCCACTGGCTTCGGAACCCCGCGATTTGACAAGTTGAAGAAAATTGCTACCTAGGAAGAGCTGGTTCCCAAGAAGGATGGCTGATTGTTCAAGGAGTGACCGGAAGTAGAGAGTGATTGTAGCGATATGCTCTAAGGCACTGATGTGGGGTGATTACAATGTACAAGAGGAGGTCAAGGCGTATACATGATTCGATTCTAGCTAATCTCTTAGAGATATAACATAGGCAACAAGAACATTTCTGCGACAACTATGTCCATATTACATCTTCTGCAGCGAATGTAATAGTATTCAGCTAATGCCTTAAGATCCAAAGACCTTGGACCAGTCCTGCTTCTTGAAGTATTCCTCAGCAGTACTAAGCTTTGGTACAGACTTGAGCTAAACTGTAGTTAGTGATTGTGTGAAAAGGAAAGCAATTTATGAACTGACATCGCGAGGATGAACCACAGTTGGGTCATCTCGACCCTCGTAGCCAAACTCATTAAAGTAGGAAAAACAGTCAATCATTTCGCCCAGCAACTCATCAGACACACCGGGAGGGATAGAATTATCGTCCTTGATGGCCTTTGACAGGATACCAGTGGCCTTTGTGAAGGCAGCAGCGATGTCATTGGCGGATAGCCACTCTCTGTAGGCGATGAGATTGTGGCCTGCAGGTTCATCAACGATGAGTGCCTTGACGAAGGGACCGGTGTCTTCTTCAGGAGCGATGTAGGGGAATTTTGTGTCTACGTCAAGAGTTGAGACAAACTGTGCGACTCCGTCCGCATTCTAGACCTACATCAGCTGGGTTCGCTTACAGTGAATAAATCATGGACTGACCTTGAAAGGCTGGTTCGGCGGTAAAAGAACAAAGTTACTTAGAAAAAGGCCAGCTTGGTAGACACTTGTCTTGGCCCACAGATCAGGGTGCTCCTTTTGAGCATACTCCGTAGCACGAGCCTTGCCATCAAAGTGGTAAACACGAGTATATTTACCCTTTGACCACTTCTCCGAATGAGAAAGAGACGAGAGAATAAAGCGCTCGAGCGTAGGAACTTTCGCAGCAATGTCAATGACATTCTTCAGCTGCTGTTCTTCATGCTGAGCGGCCCAGTCATTGAGGGCCTGACCAGGCTTAGTCTTGGATCTGTTGGACTCGTTATAGTAAAGACCCCAGAAGTCGCTGACAGCAAAGATGGCGTGAGCCCCCTTGAATGCTGCCTCTAAAGTAGAAGGGTCATCGAGATCTGCCTGGACGACTTCAGCGCCCTTGGAGGATAGAGCTTTGGCTTTGGCGCTGGAGGTGTTGCGGGTGAGGGCGCGGACCTTCCAGCCTGGTTCGGAGAGGAAGACTTCGGCGACGGAACCGCCTTGATTGCCTGTGGCTCCGAGAATGGCGATGAGCTTTGAAGACATTGTTGAAGTTGGGATAGGGAGTTGAGGGAGTTGAAGTCAAGAATACAATAGATAGCTGTTGAGTGAAGTTGATGAGTGCTGTCTGGGTCGAGGGAAGACCTCCTTATATAGCCAATCTCATGGCAATGGCTACATATTTGTGATGAACAATCTGCAGTTATGCTTTATCAGCATTATAGAGTCTCTTGCTGTCGCCATCGATTGTCAAGCCGTTATTGAAGTTGCTGGCAGCGGATGCCGCTCTTGGACCCATAATTGTCCGCTCTGCCGCTCCGAGTGTGGGTCCGGAGCCGGCGTAATAATCTCAATCTCATTATCGTCTGCATTATCGTTTTCGAATGACGGAGCAATTGACCCCCGACTCTCCAATTCTTTTTCGTGGGCGATTTACTGTGGTTGATATGGAGAGTGATTGTCTGAAGTGATGTTTGCCTGATCGAAGGCATTCACAGATCTAGCCGATAGACTCTGTCACTATTGGGCTTGATGGTCCAGATGAGTGAGTAGAGCAGTGTGCAATGGTTAATCACTGTCTGTTGAAGTTGGATATAAAAAGGACCGCAATAGCCAACTTCCCAGTAACAAAACAACAGAAAATTCAACATTACAGTTATTCAATTAAATAAAGCTAACTCAACCACTAGAAGAAAAGACTATTATAAATAAACTACTCCCGCCAAACAGCAAAACAAGTCACATCATGGCCTTTGACCCCACACTTCCAATCTACAAGCACGATATCCCAAAGAAGTTGGTGAAAGACAATACCAAGCTTGACGAAGCACTCATTGACATCTTCGGAGCTTGGGACTTTAAATTCGTCAATCGCTATGACGCAACAAAGGAAATGATCACAATCGAAACAAATGATGATAGGTCGATGGACTTGAAGAAAAAACTGCAGGAGAAGGAAGCTCTGGAGCAAGACTAGCCTTGTTAATAGTGAGAAGATGGAATAAAGTCGCTTGATTCAGCAGTGCAGTGCAGCAGTGAATTTGATTACTATAAAAGCATATAGTGAAGTGATTGGTACCTAGGAAAGACTGTATCTTGATCACATAGCGAGCGTATCATGCGAGATTCAGTGTCTTGAATCGAGTATAAATATCGCGTCGACTGTATATATACAACCTTCTACCTTACCAACCTTAACCAAACCACTAAGCTAAACCGCCAAAGTGAAAACAAAGATTATCGATCGCCATGGCCCCCGAGTACGAAACAACCTTTAGCCGCACTCTTCCCTTCACAACCCATAAAATTCCCCAAGAGCTGGTAAAGAATGAACAAGAGTTCTACAAAGCTCTCTGCGACAAATTCGGCGCCTGGACATGGGTATGCGAGAAGAAAGAGGGGAATTATGTAGTTGAAATGAATAAGGAGGCGCCGGAAGACTTGAAGAAGGATCTGCAGGAGGAGGGCGTCTTGAAGGGTGATGAGCACCTGGTCCAAGCCGCTTCTTGATTTAGAGCGAAGATGGATATGGGTCGGGTAATAGACAGCCCGCGCCATTGATCCGTAATTTAGAATAAGAGATAATTATCAATTAATTAATTAATTAATTGGATAGCCTTGAAATTGTAGCGCCTGTGAGTTGCTTATCTCACTGCGGGTGACGTTGACATGAGCAGACTCGAGCGGCCCTTGTCCGCTCCCACTTCCCGTCCTCGTTCCGGGGCGGCTCTCGTAAGATTGAGCAATGGCTGGTTATCGCTCTCTCCATGATGTATCCCTCTTGCTTACTCCCGCAAGAAGTCTATTTCCATGAACCATGGTCATATGTTGCCATCCAATATGTAATCTCCTAGAGAGCCCTATACCGGTACCAACGGACTGGTCATGGGTCGGTCACAATGTTACATACATACCTCTTTGCGGTTTTCGTATCCGCCCCCGCGTCTCCTATAGAACATATAATATAGGTGTTATGATATCTGCCAACCATTATGATCGAGCTGTTGCATCATAGCTTCCAGACCGAGGCGTAAGCTGTCACAGATATCGGCCGGTGAGCTGACTTACATGGCCAAGTCGGAGATCAGACATCCGCTCCAGTAATTAGACAATTAGGTTTGACGTTAACTTTCTGAAGAGATATTAGTTACTATGTACAAAGCAGCACCCAGCGATAGACTCCGGGAGAGATGTAAAGGTATCTGACCAGAGACAGGCATGCTAAAGAGCCACCCACTTGTGTACACTCAGAAGCACATGGCGAGTTTTGAGTCACGAAATACGATACTGAGATTCGTCAAGTCACTAGTGGTATATTCTTAACCAGATTTCCTGACTCCTTAAAGATATAATAAAAAACATTGAAGCCGTGTAGTCTTTTTATACAGTAGGTAATCCCAATTTGCCCCGATCCTTTATGCCAATACACCTTTACTCCGTTAACCAACGTCATTACAATTTCATATTTTAGTGTCGAGGCTCAAGAATGTCTAAATAGTCGCCGCATAGGGTCGAAAAGGAAATGTATGTCTCGTTCTTGAAGTCTGTCAAGACGCCGCCGAGTTGATCCTCTGGTGCTCCCGAATCGGGATATACTGTCTTGTAAACCCACTTGCGTCCGTCAATGAGCTTCTCAGTGATGGGCGCATCTTGCCTCGTAGCTTTGAAGCCGGCCTGCAACAGAGGCATGGCGTAGGGGTGGAACCAGTACTTCTTGAAGTCAGAGATGAGGTTTCGCTTGCTGCATGTGGCGTGGTAGAAGCCGAAAATGCTGCGTGTAGCGACGTTTGTGTCGAGGTCTAGGCTGCCTACCCAGTCACGGGCGGACATTGTGGCTAGCTCGGCGGGGAGAGATTTGAAGACCTTGATGAGAGAGTGGTACACGTTCGATGGCATCTGGATGCGATAGGGCTTGAAGTTCTTGCCTACATCGTAAACATCCTTGAACATGGTCGCTGTGTTGTCCGAGTTGTTGTAGTTGAGCTTGTTCATCCATCTATGGGCGAAACATCCAGTCTGCACAAAATCCGACTCGAAATCGATGGCGGCATGGTACTCAGTGATGTTCTTTGTTTCGATAACGGTGGCATTGTCGCCCATGCTGGCCATCATGTAGTCATTCTCAAGCTGCTCAGCGCGCGAGAGCTCCTGTCGCGCATAGAGTCTAGCGAGGTAGATCTGATCCGACGTCTTGTATTTAAAGTTGGGGTCAAAAGTCTCCTCCAAACTGGCAATACCAGCGTTGATAAAGTTGCGCAAGTCTCCGACAGGTCCAATGACACTTCCTGAATTGAAGTACTTGGCGTCGCGATATGTGACATCACCGCCGCCGGTCTTGGGACCATAGACATTACCAGGGAGATGGGATCCGGGGATCTTGGTGCACTGGGCCTCGTGTAGGGCTGGCCAACACATCTTGTCGGCACCCCAGAATAGAGTTTGCTTCAGTCCGCGTTTGTGGGCTTCTTCAACGGTTATGCCAAAACGGTCAGCCAACCGGCGGTCGGCATCAGCAGCAACCTTGAAGTAGCGCTCAATCACAACCTCAACAGGCAGCTGGGCCATGACATCGTATCCATCGCCGAAGAATACGAGGTCGTCGTCGTCTCCGCCCTGGGGGAGTTCGTCGAGGTACTTCTTGATCGAGTACAGCTTGGCCGTATGCGCGGCGGAAGCGTTGTATTTACCCTCGCCCTTCCAGCCAACCATGTACGGGGCGGGATATCGGTTTACAAGGGCGGAGGTGACGATGGCGCAGAACATATCATTCGGATTCGAGGCGGGCAGCAGGAAATGCAGCTGCGACGTCTTGATGACCTTCTTCTTTGGCTTCGAGGGCGCATGGACCGATGGTGAAGCCCCGGTCGATTTGGATCCAGACGATAACCCATGTGAAGGTGTCCACTGCGGCAAGTGTCAGTTTTTTACGAGGCAGCAAATGAGGGCGAGGCCTGAACGGAACCCACGGCATCTGAATAAAGATAATAAGTCTCAAAAAGGATAAAAAAGACCAATACGCATGCAGCCACCATCGCCGTTCGGCGGTAAGGCGATGTTTTTTCCGACATGGCAGCGATGGCCATCTTTTTTTATTCTCAACACACAAGAAGCGAATGAATGAATGACTGACTGATGCAGGAAACGAGCGACCCAGGGAGACTTAAAACATTGTGTTAAGTAAGGATCTCCCCAGGTAAATATAGATAAAGATAGGGGCTGCGTGTTAAACTTGATCAGGGAGAGAAATCGATAGTACACTACGTAGTAAGGGGGATGGCGTACAATACCCCACTTGTCCAATTTCAGATCTGATGTAAGCTCTAAGATTCGCTGTGCAGCGGTCTTTGGGGTCTTGTCAGCGTGCCATGGCGTCCTTAGCACGCCCGTTGGCGTGTTTTTTTTAAGTGCAGCCGTTACAGGTACAGGGTCTTTAAGCATTTCACGTGATGATGATCGTGTCTGAGCCAAAGAGATCCTCTCTCTCTCTCTCTCTCTCTCCAGAGCAGTTTTTTAAAAGTGGACGGGTATGACGAGAGTTCAATTGATACGAAACTTCAGCCCTGTTTCGACGTTACAGTTACACTCTAATTTATAGCCTTGTTAGGGTCCCGCACCCTGTAGCATCGACCCTATATGCGGATCAATCCTGGACCGAGATTGAGATGGTCTGTCTATTCCTATTCCTTCGAGTTTCAGATTTTTCCTTCCGTTTTCATGTTGGCCCTGGACCCCACTGTCTTTCCGCCGATTTAGTGATGAGGGTGCCTGAAGCAGTACCCACAGCGGGGTATGTCGCTATAAATGCATGATATCCACGAAAAGGCTCCGAAAGCAATTTCAAGAGAGCTTTGAACCGTCCAGAGACAAAAAGAATGGTTGGTAGGGTATCATCGCTCCTAGTGATAAAAGAATGTTTCAATCATGACGATATAGAAATCGCTGGCCATTCCTGCCCTCTGGCCGAGATACCCGGTAGCCTTCCTGCGACGGCCGCTGGAATTCTAGGATCACTGGCCTTGGCGTGTGCTGATCACAGGTAGGTCCTGAAGAGTATGGGGGCGGGGGAATGGGATCATTGTGTGATGCAGTTTGCAATTGGTAGGAGTTTGCGTTCTTTTCGGATGTTGAGTAGTATTGGTTCGATGAGTTTGTCATTGAGTTTCCTGATAGGAAGCTCTTGATATGGTTCATGACGATCGAGATGGTTGCAAAGTCAGATTTGAGCAGGGTTTGTGAGATGATGAGAAGGGAAGCGGTGATGCCAATGATACAGTAGTAGTGACGAATACAATGGAATGGTCTATTCGAATTATCGTCTTCCTAATTGGAGACTGAGACTTTATATAAGACAAATCCGTTATTTTTGGTGTCGTTGTCTCGACTGATCGGCATCATCCTCTACGTAGCCTCGATGTTAGTCGTCGTGGCTTAGCTCGCCCAATATTCCCGATTCCGGCTTATCCGCCCCTTCACCACTCGCGAGCTCGCCAATCGCAAAGTGCGAGTGAGGCTTATCCCTTCAACACGCGTATCGAATTGGTGTGCTGCGGAATCCCGATAAGGCTGACACTCTCCTGATAGTGCGTAAGACGCGCCGCAATGAGCTCCATCGAGAGTAGTTGCTGTTCTGGGCAACGGCTTCGACCGCGGCGATCCGACTTTTTGTCAGTTGCTCCGCGGAAGAATCCGTCGATGTTTGAGTTTCCGGGGAATTTAGATTTCACTAATTGATGGAGATCAAAGTCAAGATGATTGTTACTCTCGGCAGTTTTAGGAATTGCGTCATTCGACACATACTTTAGGTCGAGTACAACCATCACGTTGATGGTTGCTGTATTCACCATTGTTAGCTATTATAGAACCTCAACCCTAAACACCCTATTCTCATGCCTTTACAGGATGATACACGAAATAGTCAAATTCTGCCGACTTGCCATTCCCGTTCAAGTCCGAGCAAGCCATACCAACGAACGCACCAGTAAAAGAGCCCCCGGAACCTCGTGGGCCACAGCTGCACTCGTCTGAAAGTTGAGAAGCGTCCAAGACGGGTCCGTACTTCTTAAGTGCCTTATCCTCAGTAGAGTAATAGAACTGCAACTCTGCTTCCCTTATAGTGAGCGCCAATTTGACCTTTCCTGCTGGTGGGAGACTAATCGAATCAAGATGGTGAATCTGGAGTGACCCCGTAGGCCATGATTCTTCCGAGCTCATAATGGATAAGAGTCTCTCGCCATCTTCATTAGCTGTGATGTGAAGATAGAAAAAGTTGAAACGGCTGTAATAAGCAGTGAGACCTGCAAACTCGCGTTCATTCTCAGGTTGGAAGTCAATAAGTGTCTCCGCGTCGTAAGAGAAATGAGTCTGGCGACGAGCTACGAGGGCTTGTTCGAACCAGGAACCGATAGCATCACGCCCGTGAAGAACCAGCTTTCCATTTGTAGAGAAGATGTTCTCTGGCTCTGGCGTGCGAAGCCACTGAAAATCGATAGGTAAACAACTGTCGAAAGTGTATCGAATTTCTCGCCAGTGGTAATCTTCATTTCGTGTACCCGGCACATCGACTAGTGTCGAAGGAACTGGTCCATTCTTGACATATAACCAGTCATCATCTTTCCAAAATGCTTCTTGAATAGCTGTCTCCCGTCCAAGAACGCTCCGGCTTTTCTCTGTTATCGGCCGACTGAGAAGATGAACCAGATATGTTCTTCCGTCTGGTGTCTCGACAAGATCGCCATGCCCTGCGCGTTGAAGTTCTGCTGATGGAGACTCTCTTGAGGAAAGAATGTACTTATCCGGATGCAGCTCGTAAGGACCCCAGATACTACGAGATCGAGCAAGAGTGCATGAGTGATCGTATGAAGTTCCACCTTCGGCTGTGAGAAGATAGTACCACCCATTCCGCTTATAAATGTGTGGTCCCTCCGTTATACCAATTTCAGTCCCATCAAAGATATTCTTCAATGTGCCAATAAGCTTTCCAGCTTCTGGGTCAAACTCCTGTAGCATGATGCCACAGAAATGATCTCTTTTTGGATAACGGTGGTCTCTTCTTTGATTGACAAACCACTTTCTACCGTCATCGTCGTGGAATAGTGAAGGATCGATACCTGAAGAGTTGGCATGAATGGGGTCTGCCCAGGGGCCGTAGATGGATTCAGAGGACGTGATATAATTCTTCAAGTCCCAGAATGTCCCGTCCTTTCTCTTAACATCGGTATATACGAGCCAAAACTTCTGGCCGTCGTGTGAAAGACAAGGTGCCCAGATACCGCCACTATCTGGATCTCCCCTCATATCCAAAAGGCTTTTGCGATCCAGCGGACGAGTGATGAGCTTCCAGTTTGCAAGATCAGTAGAATGATGAATCTGGACGCCGGGAAACCATTCGAACGTGGACGTGGCGATATAGTAATCAGTACCGACTCTGATAATCGAAGGATCCGGATTGAATCCGGGCAGGATAGGATTCCGAATGGGAGGCATCTTGGTGCTTCTGCAGACTCGAAATTCAAAAAACCTGAAGTGAGGATACAGGTTGGCTACTGCAAGAACTTATACTCCGACCCCGCAAGGATTGCTGTTTTACGTTACCAACAGACCAAAAGCGAGCCGTTTAGCCTGATGAATCTGATTGATCATTAGGCCCAAGATATATGGGTGTGATGCAGATCCATTAGACCATCTCCCCACTCTCGCGGAGTATCGCTCATAAGTGTGTGCGCTAAGAACTACCTTACGCGAGATATCGTAACAAGCATGATAAGGTGAAATGATCATCAGCCTCTATTAACGCAAGAAGAACTCGAAAATATCTTCTATAAGGACAGACTAAGTCTGATTAATGGTACACGAGTCCTTTCTAGCTTGGATGCGGAGAATTACCCTGCTCGCTTATACGTGGTATAGCCAATAGCTATCTTGCATACCATGCGTCTATTTTTTGCAACGTTAACCAGCTCTTCAAGCTGACTCCCATGATTTTCTACCTTTACCTTTCTTTTACATACAAACCAGAAGAAGCAACGATATGTATCTCATCAACGTTTCGACGTTAAGGCTGGAAGAGTTCTATAGCAATGTCCCCGAATATGCAATCTTATCGCATACATGGGGTCAAGCTAATGAGGAGGTCCTCTTTCAAGAGATGCTCACCAACTCATCCGACGTGAAGCTTAAGAAGGGTTATAAGAAGATCGAATTATGCGCCAAGCAAGCTCAGAAAGATGGGCTCGGCTACTGCTGGGTCGATACCTGTTGCATTGACAAGTCTAGCAGCGCAGAACTCTCAGAAGCCATCAACTCCATGTTCTCTTGGTATCGAAACTCGGCTGTCTGCTATATATACCTTGAAGACGTGGTCCACAAGGAACACTCGGCTCGAGTTGGCGAGTCTCTTGCAGAAGCCCGGTGGTTTACACGGGGTTGGACACTACAAGAACTCTTGGCTCCTCGAGCTCGCCAGTTCTTCGATGCAAACTGGACCATGATCGGAGAGATATCGAAGAATCGCTACAGAGAACACCTCGTCAATGGCTTCTTTCGTATGGATACAACTGCCGATGAAGAAGGAGATCCTCAAGAGCTTGAGGGCACGAGTCTAGCGAGCCAAGTAGCCCAGATCACTGGTATTCCCAGGAAGGTCCTTTATGTCGGCGATCTTGGATCCTTCTCAGCTGCTACGAGAATGTCATGGGCAGCAAGGCGACGAACAACTCGTATGGAAGATCAGGCATACTGCTTACTGGGAATCTTCGACGTTCATATGCCCCTGCTGTACGGTGAAGGTAAGCATGCTTTCATACGACTACAAGAGGAGATCATCAGGAAACAGCCAGACCATACACTGTTCGCATGGCGCTCAGAGCCAACTTCGCCAGCGCCAACATTCAGTGGTCTTCTTGCTCCTTCGCCATGGAACTTTGACAGCGATCACTGCCGTGGTATATTACCAAAGCAAGTTGACATACCATATGAAATGACGAATAAAGGCTTGCACTTGCAGGTTCGCTTGGTGGAGTATGATGCAGGATCTGATGAATTCTACGCCATCCTGGATATCACTCATCAGTCAAATCCGAGGAAAGATATATGGTATGGCATCAGACTTGGACGGTTGGATAGCTGTGGCCAATACGCTCGAATCAACACGGGAGAACAACTAGTTCGCGAGGTCGAAACGACACGTACGCTCTCAATAAAGCCAACACATATTTATATTCAGCATTTCATTCGCCACAACTCTCCACTATATGGCAGAAACAAACCCTCCACGGTTGTTCTGGGTTGCGCTATGGAGACGATGTCATTGACAGTCCTTGAAGCATCAGGGTCCAAGAGCTGGGATTCAGAATCATTCACGTTTCTCCCCTCTAAGGATGATCTTTTTTATGCCAGACTTGCATTCCAATGCAAGCCAAACTTAAAAGGTTCGTCTCCGTTGACTATTGGATGGATAGTCAGGAAGGATGATATAGAAGGTATCAAATCTCATCTTGCCATTCTTAAGGAGAAGAATGATTTATATCGACCCAATACTCTTTGGGAGAATGGTATTCGATCAGGGATAGTCAAGATATATCCCCAGTCGACCTATCATATTCGTGATGGTGAAATGGTGGCTATGATAGCTCTTCATGATCAGATAATCCTCAAAAACTAAGGTCTGGTAACTAAAAGACCCAGTCTCTCTACTTCTGAGCTAGAAGAACCCAGCTCTCAAATTTGATCCCTCCATGACTTTCAACTTCCTTCTTGAGTCCCTCTTCAACCGCTTCTGGCCATTTCTTCTCCTCTTCAACAGTATATCCCGCTCGAGCAGGACGCATCAGATCTCCCAGCATAAACTTCTTCAGTCCATTTTCCAGTTCAGGTCCATTGACGACAATACTATCCTCCACAAGGTTAAACTTGGAAGAATCAAACCCAGCTTCGACTGTCGTCTTTTCCAGAACACCAGGTTCAAAAAATTCAGGATGGGGCATTTTCAGAGGCGCAAGGTCTGGTCGGACAATGGCTTGGGCAGCGTGGATGAGTTCACCAACACCAAAGCGTTTCCAGCAGGAGATGACGGCTAGACCACCAGGCTGGAGCGTACGGTATATCTCTTTGACGCCTTTGACGGGGTCGGCCAGCGTGTAAACACTGAAATTGAGGATGCTGTGTGTGAAGTGCTCGTCGGGAATTCCCTCCAGATTCTGAGAGTCAAGAACCTTCGCCTCGATATGTGGGAGCGAAGTAAAAGAATCTTTGGCGGCTTGGACCATTGGGGGCACATTATCCGTCACCAGAATCTGAGGCAGCTCATCAGCCGCGAGTCTGTCAACCAGAACTAAGGCTGCAATTCCCGGACCGGCAGCATTATCATGAACCACCGAGTCTTTGGTGATAGGCTTTGTGGTTTGAATACTATCGAAAGCCAGGTCAAGGACACGGTATGTGCTTCTTCCGGTTTGCTGAAGATAGTTTGCCGCGAATGCTGAAAAGTATGAGGAAGAAGGGAGGTCTTTGCTCTGAGACGCCGCCATTTTGAAGAGTTTGGTTTATTGAGCTGTCGAGTTATGGCTTGAGATCACCGTAAGCTGACGTTGGAAGCCCTTTTATACCAAGAATGGCTCCGTGAGGTTGAGGGGTGAAAGAGCCTTCGGTGGAGTCATGACAGCAGATGGAATAAGCACTAGGACTCATTGCCATGCAATAAGCCGAGCAAAGCGAGAAGAACGAGAATAGGAGAGATTTCCCGCTGGTGATGTGAGATGTGAACCCAATGACCGAGGCCGTAAAGTTCACAATGCCACAAAACTTTTGATTATGTTCCCTTGCATTTGCATGCTCGTGGGTAGTTTATTAGAATATGATATCGATCTCACCCAGCGAGCCAGAATAAAAGTTCCCGCTGAAATGTTCAGGCCCCTCAGCCCCTTGTACCGAGTCCTGTTCTGGACTTATGATGAAATTATCATTGAAAAGTGAGGTCCCATCATTTGATATAAACTCCCCCAAAGAATGCAGATCCTTCCAAGAGAAGCTGTTGAATGGATCAGAGTTCATATGTCCTTCGCTTGATTCCGCTTGTGACTGTAAAGCTCCGTTGCTGGTCAAGGCCAACGAGTCTGATCGTCCTTCAACTTCGGGGTTCCGTGATCTCGACTTTCCGAGCATCTTCAGCCACAGAAGTCTAAGAGACCTGGCGTAGCGCTGACCAAGACCCTGTTGGTTATTTGAAGTTTTCTGTAGACGAGAAATAGTCTCGTAGATAGCACGGCGCACGCCTCGAGCTTCTGACGGTTTGATAGCTCCAGCAAAAATGGCCTGTGGATGATTATTGTCCGAGGTATCCGGGAATTGGGTTAAGAAATGCTTACCTTGAATAGAAATACTGCAGCATAGATAACATAAAGATAAAACTTGAGCGGCATATACTTAAAAGCTTCAGTGGGGTCTATGAAGCTGTTGAGCGTGCATAAGATAGAATTTGCTGCGTCGATAGACTCGTAAATGAACCTTGCATCTGGGGCAGCGGCGAGTTCCGAGAATAAAGGACCCGATGGTCTCTTCTTTGATCGTCGGACAATGCGATTTAGGTTTGCCTGGAAAGCAAATGCATTGATATATAGACGAAGAAAATCATACGATAACATAAGAGACGCTTTGACGCGGGGGATGAAGCTGAGACCACCCCAAGAGAGTTTCCATCTGCGAAGGACTGAGGAGAAGTCGTCCTACAAAGTCAGCTATACGATGCAATAGAATGTCGACGACGTTTACTTACTATATATCTCACGTACTCTCCTCCTATGTATAGCTGCTCTCTATGACTTGATGACGAGTATAAGATATCATGTGCGTTACTGAATAACTGAGTAATTTCAAGATGTGCTTGAAAAAGTAGAGCGAGGTTATCGTTGCCCAGCTTTTGTGTTTGAAGATATGGAAAGTCGGCGGCTCGGAGATTCACGGATGGACCTGGTCCACGAGACCAGAATCCTTTTCCAAGTCGTATTGAAACTTGACGATCGCTCATATAGCAAGCTGTCTTCCCGTTAGTGACTGAAGAGCGCCGCGTGAGGGAGATGAAATTTCTTACCAGCCCAAGCTATCCTTTTTCTACTGAGATGATCCGGTGCACCTTCGACTCTCTGTACAAGACCAGTCTGCTCAAGGTTCTGAAGATATGCAAGACGAATAGCAACACCAACAAGCATCCAAGATCCCTGGTCCTCTTTGCCGCACCCGATCATGAGGTTCTCTTCCAGTGGCTGAGGTGCCCATTCAGCGAGTATCAACAATGCTTCTACAGCACCGACTGTAGTAGAGCCGGTGTATATCAGCTTAGAGATTTGAGTCTCCATGTGTCTTGCACAGGCATTATGGGCCCTGGACCACGAGGGATCATCTTTTGTGGCGACGGTGAGGATTGCTGTGATGAGGTATGGTTCGTGCTCGATGAGTTCTAGGATACGGCTGGAGTCGAAGGCTGCGCTGTAAGCGATAGGGAAGAAGATGTGAAAGTTGTCATGGTAGCTTTCTTGTTAGTCTACATCAGAAAGTATGTGTGTAGATAAACTGACTGTTCAATGAGAAAGGATGCCTCGGAAAGGGTCAATGCTCCCGAGGTAACAGGTGGATAGTCACAAACACCCTGGGATATGTTTGCCATCCTTGTCGAATTTTCGGGATCCCCTTCAGTATCTTGCGTTTGTGCATGTCCCTCGGGCTCCATATCAGCCACATGAGCCAGCAGATCCAAAGCATCAGAAGGATTCAAGAGATCCGACGATGTGAAGTGACCCTTGAGTCGCACCGCATCACCTGTAGGCTCTTCATCATCCTCTGACTGTTGGTCTAGAGGTGACCCAAGATTTGATGACAGCCATTCACTATGTTGGTCTGGTTCACGGGGTTCTTGACCTTGTGCTGGCACTGAATTCATCCGGTTGATTGGTCTGCTTGGCGAAGCTTGGTGGGAATCATTTGTTGATCTAGAGTAACCGAGACGTTGTCCCTTGATACGACGACCACCGCGTCGAGAAGTAGCGAGGATACATTCTTGATTCTTCTCGATGCATCGCCGACACGGAGGGTCCCCAGGCACGCCAGTCGAATCACTTCTCACACGTCAATTGATTTCTCTAGCCAGAGTCGGCAATTGGCATGACTTACAGGTCACATCGGGTCTTGCGAGATCTGCAGCTCACGCAGGCTCTCGAAACCCTCTTCTCGGTCTCTGGTCCCGTCGGCGGTGTCATCATGCGTTGGAGTGGAGGGATTTCAAACACCGAGAAGAGAGGAGAAGGGGGGAACGCGGCATTTGAATATGATGAGGGTCTTGGTTAACTAATCATACGACGACATCGGCCTACGAGGCCTAGAATGGTATGGCTTGGGTTAAGCTTTGAGCTATGGACATGTACCGATGTCACAGGACTTGAAGATACTGAGCTAGACGGAATAGTCCGCTACAGAAAGTGACTAGGGGATCTAGATTCTAGAAATGACATGGAAGCTGAGAATTATTGGTGATGGCTATTGAAGCTGAAAACCCCGGCCTTTGAATCGTATCACACTGAAGCACTAGAGAGCTCGCTTCTTCAAGGGAATGGGTCGCCTAAGAAAATAATTTGTGGATATTCCTCGTGCTCCGACTTTAAGCATCTGATATTAACGAGGGATCGGGAACAAGAGGACATACTGGCAGCCAAAATCTTTGGTTCTAATCTATAGGAGTTACACTGTGAGAAATATCTATTTTAAATTCTACTTAATTTTATAGTTGATCCAGTTGCCCACGAAGCCAGAGTCTAGTCATCTATTTCAAACCACCACTAAGTAGAATATCCTGTCCAGTCATGTATCCATTTCTTGCCAACCTATGGCAAGTATTAGACTATGAAAATCAGTGAGTTCAGCGGGACTTACATGATGATCGCTTCACAAACCTCATTGGGTGAGCCGAGACGATGAACTGGAATGGATGCGGCGATAGCGAGACCAGGATCAGTATTTTTCAGCTCTTCCAAATCACACCCTTTATCCCAGGTTCTGCAATCAAATATCAGCCACGTTCATAGTGGACCAAAGGGAAGATCTTACTCTGAGATGGGCGGTGGGATCATGCCCGTGGAGCCAATCATAGCTGGCGAGACCTACACAAACCGTTAGTTTCATAGAGTTTGATAGACACATCCAAGAACTTACAATATTGACTGTAACACCTTCGGGTGCCAACAAAGTGGCCAAATTCTGACCCATCGAACTATGGCTTGTCAGCGAAATCACACGAGAGTTTCCGTGTTACTCACGTCAGAGCACCCTTTGAAGCAGCATAATGGCATCCATTGAGGCCACTTCCACGAGCAGCAATACTTCCAACCAGTATAACTCGCCCCCAGCCTTGCTGTCTCATACCTGCAAGACAAGCTTTGGTGACGACAAACTGACTTCGGCTGTTGACCTCCATCATCTCATCCCAATCATCCTCTCCAATCTCCGCAACATCGCGGATCCTTCTTCCGAGACCAGCGTTTGCCACCAAGATAGAAACTGCTTTGTGCTTGGATGATACAATATCTTGGCTCAATAAGCTTGAGACCAAAGCTCTTGTAGACTCTCTTTGTGAAAGATCTGCATGCACAGGCACAAACAGCTGAGACGGATATGTCTCACTCAACTCTTGTGCAAGCTTGTCTGCCTTTTCTTTACTAGAAGCATAATGCAGACCAACATCACAACCTTGAGCAGCAAAGGCTCTCGCAACAGCGGAACCTATTCCGCCACTACAAAATCGTTAGTCTGGCTGACAATACACCTCCAACAAAATACTCAACTCACCTTGAACCCGTCACCAAAGCCAATCGGCCTTTGAGGTTGTTGTCTATCGTCTGCAATCGAAGCGTCATCCTTGTACGATTCCAAACTTGTTTATGCAAATCATGCAAGTGCTAGTTATTGACTTTACTTGCTCATCTTATAAAGGGCGAGAAGCTAAAAGCTTAGCTCTGCCGCTATTCCGAAGCCATTTACCATCGGCAACTCCTTTTTTTCAAACACCGACGGCAATTGAAATTAGCTCTCACTAACTAATGGATCCTGGAGAAAGAGTAACCTCCCCCGCAAACATGGGGTCCCCATGGAGTAGAGTCGTATTAAGCTTGGGAATGTGGGCTGGTCTTTATTAACCCATCCTCCGTCTCTACTTTTTGAATTTAATTTTCGTTCTCCACGATCCAAGGCATATCAAACACTCTATTTCATTGTTTGTTTACTCGATCAACTGTTCATCATGGAGTTGCAAGGCCAGAGTCTCATCTTGACCGTCAGTGTCTTGACATCTTTGGGTTTTATGCTCATCGGCTATGACAATGGCCTCATGGGAGGTCTCGTCAATACTACGGCTTTCAAAGACACCTTTGATAGTCCCGATTCTGACATGATCGGCGTTATTGTCGCCATTTACGAGAGTACGTTCTACCTCCCCAATGGACTATGTTGGTCACTCACAGTTGTTAGTTGGATGTTTCTTTGGTGCTGTCTTCTCTTCCATCTGGGGTGAGAAGCTCGGCCGTCGACGCTCTGTTTTCATCGGCTGCGTATTCTTGATCATTGGTGCCGTTCTCCAAGCCGCCTCTTATACACGAGCTATGATGATCGTTGGCCGTATCGTTGCAGGCGTTGGCATGGGTACTGTCAACTCTACTGTTCCTGTCATGCAGGCTGAGTTTAGTCCTAAGTCAAGTCGTGGTATCTGTGAGTTGTGGTCCTCGCTCATGAGAAATCACCACCTAATGTTATATAGTTGTCTGCGCTCAGCTTTCGACTCTCAACTTTGGTATCTTCCTCGTTTACTGGATCGATTACGCCCTGTCATCTCACACCGGCAGCTATGCTTGGCGTGTTCCCGTCATTCTTCAATGTGTTCCCATCCTGGCGATTATGGGTCTCCTGTTTGTTATCCCTGAGACACCACGTTGGCTGGCAGCACACGACAGACCTGAGGACTGCCTCAAAGTCCTTGCTCGAATCCAGGGCACTTCTACTGATGATCCTCAAGTCCAGGTTCTTCATAGTGTCATTACCCAGACTGTCGCCTACGAGACATCTGTTGGTGCAGGTTCCTGGAAGGATCTTCTCAAAGAAGATAGCATCAAGTCTCGCAGACGACTTATTTTGAGTTGTTTCCTGCAAAGCGCCCAGCAATTAGGGGGCATAAATGCTATAATTTGTAAGTTTATGTCCTTATTTATCATGTTAATGAGCTGTGTTGATCATCTGTAGACTACTCAAGCACCCTTTTTGAGAAGAGCGTCGGTTTCTCTGCTCACATGTCAGCCCTCATGTCAGGTTTCCTTCAGACATGGTTCTTTGTTGCCTCTTTCATTCCTTGGGTCCTGATTGATCGCATTGGACGAAGACCTCTTGTAAGTACAGCCAAATGCTCTCCTTGTATACTAAGCTGACTTGAAAAGCTCCTATCTATGATCAGCGTCATGGCTGCCACTATGGCTGTCCAGGCAGGTCTGATCTACCAGGTTGAAAACAACACTGCCACGGCACATGCCGCAGGTATTGCAGCTGCAGCTATGCTGTTTGTCTTCCAGGGTGCCTTTACCATCGGTTTCCAGGCCACAGTCTGGGTCTATCCGTAAGATCTGCCCATACCACGTTTTATGTTTCACTACTGACATATTGCAGCTCTGAGATCCTTCCTCTTCGCCTTAGACAGCGTGGTTCATCTATATCTACCGCTGCTAACTGGATCTTCAACTACGTATGTCACACCTTTCTCAAACACATAGCTCTGCTAACTGTTGTCTAGATGATTGTTCAAATTACTCCCATCTCTATTGATAACATTGGCTGGAGGACATACATCATCTTTGCCGTCCTGAACAGTCTCTGGGTTCCTATCATCTTCCTTTTCTTCCCTGAGACCAAGGGTCTCGAGTTGGAGGATGTTGACCACCTCTTTGGTGGAGAGGACATCATCAGCCAGGTTGATGAGAAGACCAATGCTGCTGTTGTCATGATGGAGACTGTTGGCAACAAGACTGCTGCTTAATTTACTCAGAATTACTCTTGAGAGCTGGGGATTGAGGATGTACTATTCACGAGTTGTAAAATAGTCTTGAAGATTTAGTTGACGGCTTCAAAGGGGATAAAGGAGCGAATAGTAATCATTGTTATTGAAACATCTTTCATGATGTCATTTTAAAGTATATGAATAGCGCTTACTACTGAATAATGCTTGATTGGGTGTCATAATCGTTGATATGCACAGAGTTTACGTATTCTCGCTGCGTGGCTTCGGCATATGAGCCACCCGCTGCAGACATTTCCACATTGGGAATGGAATTAATTCCAGCATTAGCCGCTGAGGGGTAACGGCAGGTAACCCAGCTCAACCTCCAAATTCCAAAGCCCGATGCCCCGATGTTTGTTATGTTGTTCTATCTTTCTCTTCATATCCCGCTTGTCTAGCTACCCGTAACCCCAGCACTTCAACCTCGGAATACAACCCTGACTACCGCTCGGCACGATGTCCTTCAAGATTTACAACGAAGGGGCCAATGCCATCTTTGACGCCTCTTCAACGGTCGAGGTGATCCATGAGAATGACCAATATCCATTTGCCCACGAAGCTGGCGTCTTCATTCCAGAAGAAAATGCCCTGTTCATCACGAGCAACCAGTTCCCAGACCCTACGACCGGCCAGAAGACGATCCAAATAAGCAAAGTCCAACTCTCCCCCGATGGGAAGTTCATTAGCTGCGAAGAAGTCAACGCGCCTGACGTTATCATGGCAAATGGTGGTGTGAACTACAATGGCGGCGTATTATTCTGCTCGCAAGGATCCCTGACTGCGCCAGGAGGTCTTGTATTTATGCAGCCTATCGCGCCTTACAGATGCGCAGCGCTCGTTACCTCATTCTACGGGCGAGATTTCAATTCCTTGAATGACGTGGTTGTTCATTCTGATGGCTCTCTCTGGTTTACAGATCCAATTTATGGCTACGAGCAGGGTATAAGACCAGCTCCCCAGCTACGAAACCAGGTCTATCGATATGATCCTAAAGACGAGTCAGTACGAGTTGTGGCAGATGGATTCGGCAGACCAAACGGTATCTCATTCAGTCCTGATGAGAAGGTCGTCTATATCACTGATACGGACTGGATTCATGGTGACGGAACTACTGATGACACCCGAGCAAGGACCATGCAAGTCGCCGACGGCACAAGACCATTAATTATATCTTGCTAACTTTCTACCTCTAACAGCTATGCTTTCGACCTATCAACCATCTCCGGCGAGCCATTCCTCACCAACAAGAGAGTGTTCGCCATGGCAGACACCGGAATCCCCGACGGCATCAAATGCGATACGAAAGGTAACGTTTACAGTGGCTGTGGCGATGGCGTAAACGTCTGGTCACCAGGCGGCGTCTTACTCGGAAAGATTATTATTTCTGGAGGCGTTGCGAACTTTTGCTTTGGTCGAAATGGGGAGTTGTTTATGCTGAACGAGCACAAGATTTGGAGAGCTCAGCTAGCCAGCGGCGTCAAGGGGGCGCTGCTCGGCATCTGAAGACAAAACAGCCACAAAATTGTATTCAATATTTTTACTTCTATTAATATCACGGCAAATGATTCTTCAATCCACGTGCTCGTATGCCGATAAGAAGCTTGACTATTTATGGAGGCATTTGCCTTTTGCCAACCATCGGCCTCTGCTTCGGCGTCTGGAGCTAAAGCCGGCCGCTCTCAAAACAGTCTCAGTTAATCTTGAGACCAAAACCCGTAGCAGAGGCCTCGGCTCTTACATCATACGGCAACTGATGCTCGGTAATTGATATACCTATAGATTCTTACCCCAAGTCACTATTCTTCATACGCCTTCGACCATTTTAACCTACCTGCTCTAACTAGTTAACAACATCGCGGGGAAGTCCAAGTCATTCTTCCAGAATCAGTCTACTATCACATACACACACATCGCCATGACTTCCCAAACAAAAAAGCAACCGAGCAAGCCTCGAGTTCGCAAGTCAAGAAGCACAACAACAAAGCAGCTAAAGCCGAAGACCACAGCGCTATCATCATGTCTATTCTGCCTGAGAAACCGCAGAAAATGCGTACGACTAAACGGACAAGCACAGTGCTCTGAATGCACAGCTCTATGTCAGACTTGCCACTGGCCCAATGCGCAACAGAACCGTGAGTTGCCACACCAGGTCTCTTGTAACTCTTCTAACAGCAATGGCAGTCCATCAACTATTACATGAGAAACAACAATTATACCTTCAACGGCGGTCCCTATCAAAAAGCTTACTAGAAGGCGTCAGAGACATGGAGTTCTGCTCGTCGACGATAGAAACACAACAGACTCTAAAGAGATTACTGGACGACATGGTTAATATAGAACAAAGGGCATTCCGGCTCGAGTCGGAGGAGTCAAGACTTTGGGGGCTAAGGCTCAGAGCCCAAGAAAGCGACGACATAGATTCAGAGGACTCGTGTTCAAGTGAGAGTCTGTCTGAGCCATCTCAGAGTCTCGATTGTAACTTTGCTTTTCCATGGTTGGATTAATATCAACATGTCTATAAGTGGGTGGCACGCATCGTTAAAAGCTTCTAATTCCAACGAATCGAGAATAGTAATATAAGAATAGAACAAGTACCCAGTGCATCAACGAAATCGAGAGCAGTAAACTATACGCTAAGATCACTGGAAAAGAGTCTCATCGCCTCTCATTTGATCGAGCCCCGTCTCAAACACCTCTTGTCCACCGTACCAAGGAGTATCCCCTGCTCCAGGCCTCGAAAAGGGATCACTCCAAACCTCTTCCAGGTTCATGTTTGAAGCGATATCTAAATAGGAAGATCCATAGTTGTCAATGAATCCAGGACGATCAAGATCTTCCCCAACTCCAGTTTCTGACTGGTCAGCAAATGGTTCTGGGGCCGGAGTCGTAGTGTTGTCGACTTCCATCAACCCACTATACTGAATGGCGTAGAGTCGATCCTGATCATACTCAAAGCCCCTCAATGCAGGTGTTTGTGATTCTTCAGGTATGTAGTCTTCCGTAGTCGAAATGTGTTGTGCCTGATCAACTGTTTCTTCTTCGGAGGCTACATAAGGTCTGATCTCATGTTCGATATCGAGAGAGTCCCACAAGTAGACTACTAATTGTTCAAACAACCTCGGCATTGCTTGCCGTATATCGCCAAGCCCAGACTCGTGCATCATTTTACGAGTCTGACACTGCACATATGGCTGCTCGAAGTAGTCGCAGCAGTGGGCCACTTTCCACTCATCGTCGAGATAGGGGCTCAAAGGAATCGGTTCGTGTGGAAAGATAATCTTGAACAGCCTCTCCCATTGCTCTTTTGAAGTCAGCCTGGTGTTGGACCTCTCATTTATCGCAGTTGCCATATCCCTTGTGATAAGTCCAACTGGGGGTGGGCTTGTCGGATGGCCGAATAGTTTTTCGCACACTTTCTCATGCTGAGTCAAATCCTCTGGCCGAAACTCATTGAAGCAGATATAGCAATGATGGGAGAAGTGCTTCTCTTGAAGGTGCTTCTTGAGACGATATATGTCCCTGAGTTTCTTGACACAACTTCCTCTGTACTTTATGGGATTCCACTTCATGAAAGGACAGGCCCAAAGGAGGCTATTTTCGGGGGACGTGCCAGCAGGGGAGGGTTTTGTCCATTACCGCCGGACTCTTCATCCTCACTACCTTCATCTCCATCAATAGTCTGGCCTCTGCGACCTGTTGGCTTGGCGCCTTTCCGTCCAATTGTTGCTCGGGTGTTCTTGGTCGAACTGGTAGAGCTTCGATCAACTTGTTTACGCTTGGCTGCAAGAGTCCGTCTCTGTGGCGCATATGATCTGTAGTAGTCGTCGGCAAGTATTTCCACTATGTTCTTGATAATCTCCTGTATGGCGATCTCGTCCTGAACAGGCTGACTTGTGTCAATGAATTCTCCTCGAAAGGCGGCTTCAGAGTGAGAAGTATCGCTGGAACTGGAGCTTGCTGCGCGTTTGATTTCCAAAATTTGATCAAAGTTTCTTTCATCCTGGCGTTCGTTTGAACTGAAGAAACCTCCAACGCCAGTGATATCAGATATCTGAAACTCGTCATGTTCAACATTGGGCACTCCTATACGAGGAAAGGACCTCTGAGATATGGAGAATTCATGCTCCGAGACAGGGCCACCTCTCGAGAACTGGCCACCGCGTGTTGCTGGCAGCTCCAGTGGCTGATCATCAAAACACAGGCGGGCGTCCTGCCATGAGAATTCCGGGATCCAATACAATGAGCGATTGGGCATTGGTTCATCAATCAGGCCCTGTATCACCTCCTCGTGGCGTGAATTGCTTGCGTGTGAGACGCTCTGGGTTGGAACAGCGAAGGAAGGCCCTGAGTGCGAAGGCTCAGAAGCTGACACGACCTCTGTAAGGTCTGGCTGAGGCGCTCTAAATGGAAATAACGGCAGTACTTCTGCTTGCGGAGCGTAGTTCTCAGTCGTTCCCCAGGTTGGATCAATAGACGGATGCTCTTGTCCGCCCCCTACTCCCAACAGTAAAGGGCCATGGGCCAAGTCTTCCTCACGAGTAGACACACCAGTGACGACCGAATCACCCTCCTAAGCTCAATGTATCAGTATCCCTGAGTTTCTGTATGGAGATATGGTCCATTTGGAAGCAACTCACTCTTAACGAAAGCTTTGTTGGGGGTGCATCCCCAGCAGCAGCACCGCCGGGGTTGGTGGAATCCACTGAGTCAGACATATTGTAGGCACCTCAGTAATGGAGGTTCAAGGTACTATGAATGAAGGAAATCCAGGTAAAAACATAATTAGAAGGGTAGGAGATGTGGAATTCATTGCGCGACAGTTCGGCTTCTTATGGTAAACTGAATTCAAAATTTGTCGATTTTTTTGCCTGTGTCTTGGACGTTTTTTTGAATTGAGAAACCCTGCACAAAGCATTGGCTGTCGTGACTCCAAATCATATCATCCATGCCAGAAAAAGCAATGAGGCTTACAGCTCATCATCTCATTGGGAGAGGGAAAGCAGGCTGTATAAAGTGCATGTGCACGGGCTGACCGCTTGATCCTTGAAGCACTCACTCTCAGAGAGCCCCAGCTTGATAAGAATCACATCATGTAATCAATCTGGGTGCAATAAAAGAGTTGCCTGCCACTAGATAAACAACCAGTAGTTTATTTTCACTTTGGCACCGCAGAAGTGCAATCAAAATCAAGTAGATACAATACCACTCCGGCACCGATACGTGTGCTCACTCCTACACCTCATCACGAAATCTATAGCAGGCTCCGTATCTAAGATGCCTTATGGCCTCTGACAGGTCTTGAATTCTTTCTGCATCTCCTAGCTGCAAAAAAAAAAAAAAAAAATTACAAGTCTCTTCGCCATGTCAGCCTATATCTGTTACCACATGTGTCCTATCCAACCACTTTAGCTTGATCTGATGAAGGGTCAACTGATTGTCAACATGAACAAGATAGTCGATATTCCGACAAGACTCAGTTCGCCTGTTGATGTCGTGGATACCAACTTGGGTTATTACTGCGAATGATGTCGATAGCTCTCTCAATGCTCCCAAGTCGGGTTGTCGTGCCCCAGGAAAGAATATTCCCAATAACCTTTTCGAATTCCCGTTGGTGGAGCTCATTTTACATATTATAATGTGGTACCCGATGAACATGCTCACTTGTCTCGTCCCATGCATAACTGAAATATATGTAGGCTGTGTACCGATTCAGCACGAGACTGAACACAGAGCTATTGAGTCCTGCGTCAGCCTTCCCGCACACTTCGAAGCGGTGTCGCAGTCTATCAACCATCCTGACGCTGATGGAAGCGCCTTGAAGGCAGTCAAATGCTGACTCACTAACAATGCCACCTCGATTTCTGTATCGCTCGCTATCAGGGGCAAAGTTGACCAATAAAAAAGGATAGGGCATCTTTGTTCCGTCGACAGCCTCTGCTTCTGGCTTGGGACAAGCTGGTACTTTATCATCGTCGATACCATGTCGTTGGGGAATCCATCCGTAGATTAACTCGGGTTGGGATCTCAGGTTTCGAACCCGATTTGTTGACTCTGTTTCTGTTACAAATGCTCTCATGTACTTGTGTTTTGTGTTCTTCAGTACGTGCGCCTCGCTAATACCAAGAGTGTTGAACTCGATGTTTCGCAGAAATTTCTCTTCCCAAGAGCAATCTTGTACCATAATGGCAGCCTTGAAGATTTCGTGAGCGTCTCTCAACACTGACTGGCGCGCGGGCGTCCTAGTGACATGGCGGAGGATGTCCGCGTTGAAGGGTCCCATTTCTTTAAATGTAGTAAGGCGGCGGCCAAGATAAATATCGAAAGGCTAGAGCTTTTCCCCGTTATGGGTATATGGGTGATGCTGTACCCGATCCCAATTATCGTTGGCTTTGACCAAGCGGAAAGGCATTGCTATCTGCTGTCAAGGGAATAGAAGATTCTGAGATCGGATTGTTCGAATATACACCTGTATATAAAGACAGATAAGTGACTACCTAGCTATAAGGAATATCGAAGAAGAGCCTACCTTGGTCTTTAGAAATAAGTGGTATCCTCATACAAAGGGTTCTATGACTTCTCAGACTCCAGAGTTGCGTAAAAAGGGGATAGAGGTTTCTATTGAAGTTTTTGAAATGAAGATATTTATACTAAGAATGTAAAACAAAACTGCTGAAGGGAGAGCTTTGGTGATTGCAAATCTTTGACAGATTGTGTCACTATTCACTAAGTAGGTGTCAAAGAAACCCACAAATCATACAAGGTCACTTGTCGGTATGTCTATCCACTTATCTTTCTGTCACGGTACACAAACTTTTGAAAACCGTCACAACTGTACAGCTTGAATGATGCTATCATTAGTTATCGGCAAGTCTCTGCTCCAAACAACTGATCATGGGCCAGTCTATCCGGCATGTCTTTGGACTGTCCACAGATTGTTTACTGTGTAAATTTCTACTGCTAGCTCCACGGTTCGCTGTATTACAAAGTCCATGATTTGATATTTGCTACAACTTCTAGCATAGATTGAGTCAGGCAGCTACTTTCTGTTTGCTATCTTGTCTTGTTGTTCACAAACAGCAAGAAATACTGCCTCCTTGCTATGGCCGGCTCTAATAAGCCCCAGGATAGCAATAGCGTCATCCCATTCTGCAGCATACATGAAGTCTGTGATGCAATAATACATTGCTATCTCCCGTTCCGCATTGTTGATACCCTCCACAAGCGCAGCTATCGCGACCTCGATAGGAACGTCCAGATCCTCTATGTCAACATTTTGATAATTCATATTGAATTTACTATCGGCCCGGAGAGTTATGCTATTAGGTGGTGAGCACAGGAATAAAGAATGTCAACTTAATATCTGCTCTCCCAACACCAATACTGTCTTCCCTGATTTGGGATGGCGGTGTTCATGGACGGGGCATTTAAGAGGCGTTTGTCTTACTTGCGTCAGATTCCTTGCTCTGAATGATAAGTCCACCTGGAAGGCTTTTCGTGACTCGGCTCGACGATGCAGTAAAGGCAGCACGATTGAATCAAGAATAAAACGGTACTGAGTTTATGGGTTGTTGTAGCTTGAGGTCCACAAGTCTCGCTGGATGATGGAGAGAATCAGGAAACTAGAGCTCAAGAGGGGGTGATTTATATAAATGGTGTGTGACCCGTGCCCATAAGATGGGGAAATGGCCGCATACTTAAGACAAGCCTTCAGGACTCTAAGCGTTACACCACATATGTCGATCTCAGAGCTCCGGGGCTTGTGATTAGACAACTCGTTAGGACGAGTGATGTTGAAGAGGGCGGCTTGGACTGTGATTGGCAAGCCACGGCGGAGGTCAGGCCGGGACTATATTAATGAGAGATATAAAAAGAGCGTGAGAAAAAATGACGTAACTAAGAAATATCGAGAAGCCAATGTCAACTCTATTAAAAATGAGGTAACTTGATTCTTTCCCGCACAATTATCCTCTCTTTGGTCTGCTTCATCTCTGCACAAGTGTTTCCACGCTCAACAGCTTAGCTATGGTTCTCACGCAACGAACATAGTATCACGTTGGCAATTGAGTTTTCAACAATTCAACAGCGTAATTGGTTTAGTGGTAAAATTCTCCGTTGCCATTCGAGCAGCGTCGGGGAGCCCTGGGTTCGATTCCCAGATTACGCATTCGATTTCATCTTGTTGAGGTTTTCAGCTTTTGGTATGTATCGTATTTATCATTTTTGGTGGTGTTGTGATGTTGGTTTTGACTGGTTCCTCAGGCTTGGCTTTGTGCTTCGCTGGCCGAGATTCTGCCAAGGGCCCAGTGGCAGCAGTGCTGTTGCAAATCGACAGTTCCTGCCTTGCCAAGGCTTTTGCTTCGCCCACCTTGCGAGGCAAAAATCGCCAATCCCCAGAATGAAGTTAAAGAGCATGTCCCTTAAGGCACGTGTATGGGCCATCAAAAGCAGATCCGATGGCTGTGATGTTAATGAAGCGGATATAAGCAGCATCAGAGAAAACTCAGCCACCTTCTGAGAAAGGAAACGGCCGACGGATGAGGAAAGGATACGAATAGAGTTGCAGGTTTCCCGCCTTAAGCGATTGGCTACAGCGAGGTCCCATACGCCACATTAGCCTTGCCAGGCTAGGCCAGGCAGCTAGAGCTAGCCTAGAGCCTAACAAGAGTGCTGCACACAAGGTTAATTTTAGCATTCTGTCTCCTGTTTGAGGTGACGAGCGGTGTATTGATTGATGAATGCGCCGGTGAGATATGAGCCCAGACTATGCAATCACGAGGAACGTTGCATACAATGGAAGAGTCATAAGTGTAAGCATTTAACCTCTTCTTCATCTTTAGGCTAGACAACGCATTGACCTAAACCGCAATGAACCAACAAACTCAGTGGAGATGCTCTGGATCCTCGCTTCGCTTCTGCGGCGCGATCAACCTGGAGCGCCCACTCAGCCTTGCCAGGGGTGATCTTCTAAATCCTCCGCCAAGATCAATCCCATTTTCCTCATTGGATGCTTCCGCGGTTCCCATTAACTGTGCCTCCCAAAATTTCCCTTGGTCTGGCCGGTGACTCTTTGCCCAGGCGGAAATGGCATGTTGTAGCGGCCATGTCCCAACTCATCACATCGTGGGCGTCAACTATAAGTAGCCTGTGTCCTCACACGTTTTCAGGATCATAATTCACAAAGCATCTCTCTCAAAGTATCTCTCTTGTTCACTCTTGAATAATCTCACTCGCTTATAACAAACCAACCACCAATATGCAGACCAAGTACATCTCCCTACTCGCCGCTGCGGCTGCTACCACCGTCTCTGCCACTCAAGTCAAGCGCGTTGACGTCGTTCACATCTTCGAGACTCTCCACGTCGGCAAGCACATCCCCAGCTTCACCCCCAACAAGCGCTCCGTCAACGTCATCTTTGAGCGTGACGACAAGGAGGAGTGCCAGAGCTCTGCCCTCTCTATCCTCCGAAGCGCACCCACTGCCAACAGGGACCTCGAGTCCTGGGCTCTTACCGCTGAGACCACCGACCCTTGCACTCTCACTGCTCCCTCTTCGCTGTCTTCCGAACTCTTGAGCTACATGACCGCCGTGGTTGAGTGGTCTAACGAGAAGGCCGATGATATGCAGGAGCTTGTTGACAAGTGCCTTGATGGGGAGGACGCCAACGATGCCAACCTGGCCGCTTGCCCTACTCCTGGAACCGTCATCTTTACTGCTGCTACCACCACACAGACTGTCCAGCTCAAGACTGTTCTCGAGACATTTGCCACCCCTGGTGCTTCTTCTACTGGCAGCGCTGGTGGCTCTGGCGGCTCTGATGACAATGATCAGGCCAACGCTGCTGCTCCTCGTGGCGCCAACTTGTTCGCTGCTGTTGCTGCTGTTGGTGTCGCTGGTTTCATGATTGCTGCTTAAGGCCTTTGATTCGGGCACTAATGGACGGGTCGGTGCTTAATGGATTAATATCACCTTATGGAATTGTCATGTTTAGATGATGGTAGAACGGATTGGCTTCTGTATGATATCCCGTGCAGAATGCTGCACTTTACTTTAAATTATATATTTAATGGTTATAGAATATTTCTTTAAACTGTGCTCTCGCTGACTTGCTCGATGCTTGTGTGAAATGGAGGTGTCTTTCTTTGAAGCAATATGTTGGCTCAACTTCCTGGTTTCCATAACCTGCCTACCTACCTAGCACCTGCCTGACAATATTCAAGCCGCTGATTCACTGACAGTTCGGCAAGTGCTCCTTCGATTATAGGTGTTTGCTTTCATTGGACGATCCTATTTCTCAGTGCTTCCTTCCGGCGACATTCTCTCCATGTCTTGGTGCCTTCCGTTGGGGGCCCAATTGTTTTTATGCAAGGCCCCCGCGAGCCCCTCCGCCTTCTTACAACTCCATTCACCACTCCATATACAACACAACCCAGCGCCATGGCACAAGATGAATGCCGCCTCTTGCGTCTCTCAACGGAACTCATTTACCAGATCTTGGAGTATAGCCCTCCAACTACATGCTTTGATGTGGCACTCACCTGCGCTACCCTACACTCTCAATGCCTGGGCCTTTTAGATCTTCACCGTGAAGCTTACTCGAAGTACAGAATCACATCAGACCTGTCACCAGAAACGGTGATTGATCTACTCAAAGACACTACCAAAGCCAGAATCGAGAGATGGCATGTTCGTGAGCTGGAGATCTGGGGTAGCCGATATGATTGGGAGGATTGGCGATCTTGGGTTCCAAAACTTCCTGGGACTTGCGATCTTGCTGACGGTTCCCCTACAAGGTATGGGCTGGATTTGCAAGACATAGAGAGATACATCGAAACTTCAATGGACTTATGGACGTATCCAAGATTCGACACTGAGGCAATTGAGTATCGTCTAAAGGATGGCCAGGACGGGTTCCTCAAACTCATCCTCATTGCAACATGTCCTCGTCTTCACAGTCTGCGATTCGCCAAAAACGATATCGATCGCCACACGACTCTCAAGTGGATGAGAAAAGTCATCAACGAATGCCGTCGTGCACGGAATGGACCACTCGAGCTGCGTGGTTTTGAATCCCTGCGACATATCGCAGTTGGTATTGAGACAGATCAATCTTTGTTGAATGACAAAAGTCTCCACCGCGATGCCCGCGACTTTGCAGCCCTTTTCTACATACCAAACCTTGAAAGCCTCTACTTCAACGATTTGCACTACATTGCAGATGGCGACGAACCTTACTTGCACTGCGATGTGGTTGACCAGTATCACTTTCCACGCGGCACTTCGAGCGTCAAGCATCTGTTCATAGATGGCGCTTCAGGCTTTTCTGCCGACTATTACCAAGCCATAGCAAATGCGTCGAAGAATTTAGAATCTGTCGTTCTGAGGATTGCGAGCGAACGCCGGCAAGATCTTCACGGCGTGGACACGTTCGTGGACTCGCTTTCTTTCAGTAATGGGAAGACACTGCAAAAACTTATCCTTTACAATCCGTGCGGTATGTACGCCGACTATCAGCTGCTCGAAGTTGAAGGCTTTGGAAACTTGAAGCTGTTCACGTTGGCAGTGTCCGATATGATGCTTGGAGAGCTTTACCAGATGCATAGTTCTCCCAATGCAGAGCAACTTGCGGAATACGTCTCTGACTCTTTCCCTGCTAGTACCGAAGTTCTTTATATCTGGGGGCGATCTGACGAGCATGTGAGCGACTCTATATCTAACGATATTCCATCAGATATCCTCGACTCAACACTTGCGGCACTCATCGAATCTGGCGTCCTTGAGAACCTCAAGGTTGTTTACCTCACAGATGTCGAAAAACGACAAGCTCAGAATGATACAGATTCCCCTTCTAGGGGATCCATGGACGCAGGGCTAAAGGAGCTGCTTCTGCCAAAGTCTGTCGCTGCAGGACTCAAAACTGGTGTGCATGTGTGCACGGTGATGAATAGGGATGATGGTGGTTATTGGAAGAACTTTCCTGCCAGGCCGGACAGGTTTGACCTGAAGACTGGTCCTTGGTATGGCGAAAGGCCCGCATCGTGGAGGTTGAGTTTGCAGTCTGGGGAATGGGGGCCGGATTGTGAAGGTTGCGGAGAGTGTACGGACTGCTTGGCTGTGTATCCTGCTGAGTTGTGGAAGAGTGGTCGTTCATGAGAAGATGGCATGGTAACTGCCATCGATTCCCGGAAAGGTGGATGGCCTGAGGCTTCAGTCTGGTAGTACATGTAATACATGGATACCGTGTCTATCAAGAGACTCATGATCGAACTGCCGGTTGAGGCGTGTACTTCAGCGTTGCAGATGTGATTTCAGTGAAGTCCAAGATGATATCAACAATCAATGCCTTGTCATGAACCAAATTCAGCTGAACAAGCATTAGTATCAGTCAATTACCAATCAGTTACCTCAACTCACCATCTTAGCCTCCTTCACGATCCTCAAGGCCGCGCGTACGACGCGTCTCTCACCGCCCTCAATTGCCCAACGGATGATGTTCTCTTCTCCTCTCTCATGTCCTGGTATGGCCACGATGAACTGCGTCAATCACTCCCCCTCGTACCCCATCGCCCTCTTCCACCAACCCCCCAGGCCCTTCTCGTCCATGACCCTCCCAAAGTCCCTCACCGACTCGGTCTCATCAAACCCCGTCTTTCCTACTTCGCCCTCAGCCCTCGCAGGTTTCGCAACACATTTGAAGTCTTTGTACCGCAGCGCTTGTACTGTAGATACCCACTCTGTCAAACCAGCCTCATCGCGCCCCTCAGCAAACATTATCCCTGGTGATCCGCCACTGCGTACATACAACCAATCCACGTTTAGTTGCTGTGCTGCACGACGTACGCGGGAAAGCTTTTTACGGGATGTTATATGGTGGGTACGGATTAGACAGTTGAAGAGTGAAGGTGTTCGTGACATGATGGTATATGGTGGTGTTGGAGAGATGTTAGTGAGGAGATTCATGATATCACCGTCGGACTTTTATGGATCCGATGAAAAACACAACCACATCACGGCAAAAGAGAAACAAAATGGTATAAAAAGTAGTCAACGTAAAATTCATCCTCATACGTGCACATCTAAGGATATAAACCTAGCCTAAGCAAACCAAACGCCTTCCTGGTATGTATCGTATTCTCCGCAGCCGAGTCAAAACATCATGACATGACCAACATCAAAGGTTGTTTACATACACGTACGTTATTCAACAACACCGAGCCCCTCAAATCCCCAGGGACTCCTCGTCATAAATGGGTATAATGTGAAAGCTAAACGAACTTTCTCGTTCCCTGCACGCTAAAAGTTCGAGCCTAAGTTGCGCTGCGCCTCTCAGCTTAGACACCTCTGAACATGCGCACCACCAAGAACCACATGGCACCGATAAACTTGAACGCGCTCAGACCTGCCACACTCCAAAGGACGATAGACATGTAGATGTTGGATCGGCTCAGCTGTTCCGCTTCATGGTCCTTATCCTTGTTGGGGCTGATTCGATCCAGACCTGCAGAGCTCAGAACAAGCGCTGCTAGACCAAAGTTTGACACCATCCAGATGAGAACGACGCCAGTACGAACACCTCTGTAGTAGTCCATTTGCTTTTCCTGAAGCTGGCTGGGAGTAGGAGTAGTCTTGACTTCAACATGCTTCTGTGAAAAGACAGCAAGTTCTCGCTGATATTGTGCGTTCAAATCTCCTTCGTCGGGCAGATCCGTTTTTCCAGTACCATCCTTGGTGTTGACCGAAGGTAGCTTCTCAACCTTGTCGTCACCCTTGGTACCCCAAGAAACATCGTGCGTGTTGCAAAAGGCGTAGACGTTGAGGACATTTGTAAAGGTGGGCGTAAGAAGCATGTACTGAACCAAAGAGGTAGCCATGTGCCAGGGATCCAACATGATCAGCGAAGCGATCAGCCAAATACCAAACGTGGACATGACCGAGATGATAAGCATGTAAAAGACCTTGTTCTTGAAGATCTCTGAAAAATTAAAGCCGTTTGAGTCGTTAACGTCGGCAATGATAGATTTGACAGCGATGAAAATAGCAGCGAACAATAGATAGCTGGTCGGTTGTTAGTGTCAGGCAGCAAAAGCATGTCAGTGAACTTACATCATGATCATAGCCCAGAACCAGCACATGGCGGTATAGAGCCTACCAGAACCTGCTGGTCGATTGCCCAGAGATAAGACGAAGCAAGTAATCAGGAATACACCGTAGAGCCAGGTAAATACGACACCCAGAATTTCTCCTGTCCGCCCCAGTAACGAATCATCTCCCAAACTTGTTGTGAGAATCTTGAAAACGAGGAAGAAGTTACCAATAGCAAACCAAGCGAAGATCATGTTGATAGTGTTGAAGATGAATTCGATGAAGAAGGCAAACTTTCGCAAGAAAGTGTGATCAGATCGGAGGAAGTCGAGGAAGTGAACAATAGCGTAGATAGCAGCGAAGAAAGAACCATTGAGCCAACGGCGACGTTGGAGAACAAGCTCAGTAACTGTATCGGGAACATCGGTCTCGCCAGTAGCTGACTTGACATACTGCAGAATCCAATGGCAGTTGCGCTTAGTGACCAGCTCGAAACAAAGAATACGATCTTCGGCGAGATACATGTTGGACTCGAAAAGACCAGCATCGCTTCCACCGTGGAGCGTCTCGCCCAAGAAGTACTTCTCAAGAGGTCCCTTTCCGTTCTTGTCGTTTTGAAGAGCGACATAGCGGTAGGCTGAGAAAGCACCGGGCAACACAGAGATGAAACCGAAAGCAGACTCCAATGGCTTATCGAGAATGTTGCTCATCTTGTACTCAAAATTTTGAGCAGCGACGAGCGGGTTGAGAAGGTATTTTCCACCAGTACCCAACATAGCCTTGATCTCACCGCAAGCACCACCACACATGGGCTCGAGATCAAAGGCCTTCCAGAGATGGTAAATTGAACTTCCACCAGGTCGAGTACCCGCATCGAGAAGCACACAAATGTTAGGGTCCAGGACTCTACCAAAGGCTGTAAAAAACCATCTGTGTGAATTAATCTTCTTGGCGTTCTTCTCCTTTAAACAGAACAGCATTTGAACTGGCTGTCGTCTGTGGACGAGCTGAACAACGTCATTCTTGATCTGAAGGTGCGTTTGCGTGGTGTATTCGTAAATATGGGCTGTGACATCCTTTCCGTTGACCTGCTGCTTGGCGATACCCTCTTGGTACACACCCATACCGGCCAAAAGAGCCTTGGTTCTGGGGTTGATCTTGGAACGACCATCACTGACGACACAGACGACGATCTTCTTCCACGCGTCTTTACCCCATGTCTTACTGTTGGGACGGTTACACATATACTCGATGTTCTTGAAAACACCGGTCATGGTTCGGGCAAACAAAATATCGTCCTCGTTATACATTGTCACGACAATGAACAGCTCGGTATGGCGGGGCTTTGTGAAGAGCCTCTGTCGCAGTGTGAAGTCGTGGTCATAGAAGTCATTGGGATCGCAAGTCGCAGCGGAATATCGCATGTGCGTGAACTCATCACGCTCTCCGTGGGGGTTCTGTTGCAGCAGAACTGGAGGAACAGGACAATCCAGGACCAGGTTACCGCGGTACAAGAGAACTTGCTTGACGGTTTTCCAGCGCTTGATTCCACCACCTTGTTGCGGTTGATCTTGGTATGGTTCGCTTGGCGCATCTGATGGTTGGTGCTGCAGCATAGGCCTGTGGTCATCGTAGGGTTGGTCGTACTCTTGGTCGTAGCCCTGCTCGTAGGGTTGCTGCTGAGGACGAGGCTCGTAAGGTTGGTTGTAGTAGGCATCGTGATGCGCTTCAGGGTTTACAGCGTAATCACCAGGAGGTCCGTAGCCTGACAAATTGTCGACAGATTGCTGCGACAAAGTCAGTTCAATTCTTGACACACGTGCACCAAGACTTACAGCTGCATTGAGGTTCAGATGATCGCTTGGAGTAGGTAACCGGTGCTGGTCGGGGCCCGAGGGCATATGAAGGTGCTGTTGGGAAGGGCCATACTGTCCATATCGGCCATCGTCGAAGGGATTGTCGTCGAGCTGGTAGCCTTGCTGGAGCGGCTGGCCTGGCGAAGGCGTCCGGTGAGGGTGTGGATGTTGCTGAGGCTGTGCCCCGTAACGAGGATCCATTTCGTTGTTATAGTAATCGTCGTCTAAAGGCAATTGGAGTTAGACTTATATGTTCAAGAGTATGCTTGTTGTTGATTGGGTTGGCAACTGGAGTGAAAGGCGACGTGAGTGGGCGAAGGTAAATAAACTTGCGAATGGGGGCCTCGGTGATTCGCAAAGAGACGCAGCAGCAATGAACCTTATTATCACCACGAGGAAAGTTTGTAGCAGGTGATGATGATAAGATTATAGCCACTTTGTCAGGTCTGAACTTTGCCGAGTATCAAGAGCGAAAAGGCGAACAGATGCCGAATCGCAATGTAATGCAATGCAATTCTAACGGGCCAGGGGTGTCTAAGAGGGAGGGAGGGGTATGTCTCGACTGTCTCATATTGAGGGAGAGAAAGGGGCAGATGACGATGATCAAAGGAACCTAATGGGAAGGGATAAAGGTGGTTGTATGTACTTGCCTAGGCGATTATACGACATGATTGCGGTTGTTTATGCGCACGAGAGGCGCTATACACATAAAGATTTTGAAGTGTGTAGGTATTATTTGGTTGGCGGTTACAGTTGCGCAAAAGATGGTTTATGGTTGAATGTCGCTGTTGCTGTTGCTGTTGCGCTGGTGGTTGCCCCGGGTTTCGGTTCCCACTCTCTAAAGACCAAGGAACCGCGGGCGGGCGATAAGTCCAGTGTTTGTGAGGCCTGAGTGACGTTATGCGACGATGCACAGACGCAGGAGAAGCGGTTATAAATGCGCCAACGAATGATACTGTGAAACGAATGCACAGTAGTAGACAAAGAGGAGAGAGAACAAAAATAAAGAGATGGTTGCATGAGAAAGAAAAAAGATTTTGGTTCGGTTTCAAAGCTGACGAAAACCAATGTCAGTCCGGTGTCGATGTCTGACTGCAGCCGCAGAAGCAGAGCAGATGACAGGGATCGGATCAGGCGCTAGCTAGACTAAACCTCCAACTGCAAGATGCGAAGGGAGCGAGAGAGAGAGAGGAGAGCGAACAAAAAAGTCTGCAGGTGGCTAACAGTTGCGTCTGGTCTGTGGCTCGGCTGCTCGATATGCGCGTCCCCTTCTGCGAATGAATGACCAAAACCCTTGTCCTTGTCTTGGCAGATCCGTTTACTCCGTTTAAAAATCCAAGGACCGAGGAGTTGGAGGGTCCAACTTGGCGTGCTCGAGAGCAACGGTCTCTGTGTTTCACACTCTGCCCGACTGGGATAGTAAAGGATGATCCTCCACTGACCCAGTGACGGATAAGGGTATGATTGAGCGAGTGACGTTGGTTTTGGGGGGGCTCGGCTTGAACCGCCAGCGGGGATAGGAC